TCCAATGCTTGGGAATAATTCATACATATCAGCTTCAGAATGATATCGGGTTTAAGTGCAAAGTTGCATCAAACAAAGAATGGCACTAGTTGGCCACAGCACTTCCTTCTCTAATGAGTCAATAAGCAAGGCGCTTATAAGAGCATCTGGAACATAATAAGTCTCAGTGAGTGTTAACTTATTATTCTTCTATACTCTTATATTATTACTCTATATTCAATATGTCTTGGATAGATGAAGGGTGTAGTAAGTAAGCCAAGACTACAGTGTTTTTAAAATTGTGTGCCTAAACATTTTAAAAGAAAGTGGGTTTTAATTCAACAGAACACACAAAAAGACGATTTTAACCAAAATTGGAGATCTCTGTAACACTCACCTTTTGTATCCTGAAACAATTTCAGATTATATGATTATCACCATCAATTTTATAGAATTAACTTTAGCTCTCTAGAGAATAAACAAAAAGGAGATAATTTTCCTCATTTCTGCATTTCTGGAGGTTGTGGGAACAGCAGAATTGCTTACCTGTGCATGCAAATGCATAAATACTTTTCAATTTGTGACATGTTTAAATCTGACTCTACAGCAATGCCATATATTGTTCCCCAATCTTCTGTCACCATAGATTCCAGTGAGCCAGAAGTGGTAGCCATTCACAGTCAGTGTTATGAGCTGGCTTCTCCTGCCATCTCATTTTTTGGCTACCAAGGAGGACATATGGAAAGGTAAGTGGACAGTGTACATCCAACTGCGTCCTAAGCAAACTGTTGATCTCTCCCACTTCTATTATCAGCCTTTCACCAAAGATAAGGAATGGATAGTATCCACATGCACCTGAATCTTATTTAGCACACAGATCTAATTAAGCTTTGGAATGAATTTCTTTTTTAAAATTAATTAAAGTTTATTGGGGTGACAATTGTTAGCAAAGTTACATAGGTTTCAGGTGTACAATTCTGTAATACATCATGTATTAACAGCCCCAAGCTGTTGTTCATCATCTTAGCTGTAGAGGGCGCAGCATCATTGGCCCATGTGGGATCCGAACCAGGGCCCTGATGTTCAGAACTGATGTCCCAAGCCAACTCCTAACCAACGTGCCAACTTGGCTGGCCCAAGAAGCTTTTTAGTTTGATAGAGTCTCATTCATTTATTTTAGCCTTTACTTCCCTTGACTTTTAAAGTCAAATTCATAAAATCCTCTTTGTAGAATGAATTTTTTAAACAGTTAATTTACAGGACAAATTTCACCAATCTCAGGGGGATATATAANCGTAATTGAAGACATTATTAAGCCAAAGGATACAGGCCCAAACAACAAGATACTTCAATTTTAGGTACCCTGGATTTAATAAACATTTTCTTAGAGACAAATTACATTAATTTACAGAAAGACTTGCTTTAAAATTTTAACACACGAGCATTTATCTCCATATTTATATTTATATTCATACTGCATAACACACAAAAAGGCTGCTGCTATGGAAATTTTGCTGATTAAAGCCATGTTTTTTTCTAGCTCTGCAAATGGGTTAATTTGTAAGA